CTAAATAACCCATTTGTCAAATGAAACATCAGAAGGAAAAATGTTTAAATATTTTGAACTGAACAAAAATGAAAACTTGGCCCATTCAAATTTATGAAATGCAGCTACAGCAGAGAATAGAGGGAAATATTTAGCTGTAAACACCTACATTAGACCAGAAGAATGATATTAAATCAGCATCTAAACTTCTACCATAATGAACTAGAAGTAGAGGAGCTAAATAAACCCAAATCAAGCAGATGAAAGAAAATAGAAAAGTTTAAGCAAAAAACAATAAGGGAAAACAGTAGAAAAAAACTTAAGAAACCCAAACCATTTCTTAAAAAGAACAACAAAATTGAGAATCTTTAGCTAAACTAAACAAAAAATAAAACAAAGACACAAATTATTAAAATTAGGGGAAAAAATTAGGGTAAACACTACCAACCTCAAAATTAAAGGATTGTGATATATTGTGAACAGCTTTATACCAACAAGTTGGACAACTTAAGTGTATGGACAAATCTCTACAGAAACATAATTTACCTAAACTAATTCAAGACTATAAAATCCAAATAAGCCTAAACCAGAGAAATTAAATTATTAATTTAAAATCTTGCTCAAAGAAAATATCAGGCCCAAATGGCTTCAATGGTGAATTCTAACAAATGTTTAAAAAAGAAATAGTTCTAATTCTTCACAAACACTTTCAGAAAAGAGTAGCAGGAAACTCTTCCAAACACATTCTATGAACCTAGTATTCCCCTGATACAAAAATCAGGTAGACATCTCGTGAACAGAAAAATCTGACTGATATCCCTCATCAATATATGTGAAAAAAATCCTTAAATTTTTAGCAAGTTTAACCCAGAAACATAGTAAAAGAATTATGTTCTATCTCTAAGTGGAATTTAACCAGGGAACATAAGATTTAGTGTTTAAATATCAACTAATATAATATACTAAATTAATAGAATAATAACCAAAATTCATGTAATTATCTCAGGAAATGCAAAAAAAAAGTCTTTAATAAAATTCAACATTCATGATAAGAACTATTATCAAACTAGTTATGCAAAGGAATTTTTTTAACCTGAAAAAGGTACATCTACACGCAACCTATTGCTCATATCGTACTTAATGATAAAATATTGAACATTTTCCTGCTAAGATTGGGAATAAAGACAAGCATTGTTATTTCTTTTATTCAACTTTGCATCAATGTCAGTTAGTTTAATAAGGCAAGAAAAAAAATCAAAGGCATATCAGTTGGAATGGAAGAAAAAAAACTGCCTTTATTTACAAACATTATAATCTTGTATGTAGAAAATCCTAAGAAATCTACACAAAAAATCTGTTAGTATTAATAAAAAAAATTTAGCAAGGTACAGAATACAGAAATGTATAAAATCAATTGTGTTTCTATATATTAGCAAAGAACAATCCCAAAATGAAATTAAGAATTCTATTTAGAATAATATCAAGAATAAAATACTTAGGAATCAATCTAACAGAACAAGTGCAAGACAGAAATTGTACAACAAACACCACAAAATATTGCTAAATAAATAGAAATACATTTTACATTCATGAATTATAGATTCATTATTATTAAAATAACAAGTCTCCCCAGAATGATCTATAATTCAACATAATACCTGTAATATACTCAGGAGGGAATTGTTTTTGTAGCAATAGACAAGCTAATTCTGAAATTCATATGAAAATGCAAAGAAAATGGAAGAGCTGAAACCATCTGGAAAAAAAGGAATGAGTCAAAGGATGTATACTACTCATTTTCAAGCTTACCATAAAGCTACAGTAATCAAAACATTGATTGTCAGAGGATGGGCAAAGAGATCAATGGAACTGAACTGAGAGTCCAGAAATAAAGCCTTACGTTTACAGTCAATTGATTTTTGACAAATGTGCTAAGTCAGGTCAATGGAGGCAGGATAGTCTTTCCAACAAATGGCATTGTGACAATTAGATATTCATATGCAGAAAAAGAAAAAAATGTTGATGATACATCATACTGTGTACAAAAATCAACTCAAAATGAATTACAGACTTAATGTAGATATAAAATTATAAAACTTAGAGGAGAAAACATAAGGAAAAAACTTTAGTTATATTGAATTGGGTATAGAATTCTTAGATATGACACCAGGAGCATAATCCATTAAAGAAAAGTTGGATAAATGGGACTTTATCAAAATTAAAAATTTGCTCTTGTAAAAACCAGTGAGGAAAAGAATAGGACAAGGCAGTCACTGAGAGAAAAAGGCTGTAAAACATAGACCTGATGAAGTACTTGCTTTCAGATATATAAGAAACTTGAATAACCCAATAATAGGAAGACAATCCAATTTAAAAATGGCCAAAAGATGTGAAGACCCTTCACCAAAGAAAACAAGGAAAAGCTAATAAGTGCATGAAAAAAAAAATGCTTACATCCTTAGTTACCAAAGAGATGCAACTTAAAACCAAACTGAGTTACACTGAACCCTCATTAAAATGACTAGATTAAAAAAAAAACAATAACTCTTCTATGGAGGCATAGAAGCCTGGTCCACGTGGAAATGAAATATGATTGAGCCATTGTGGAAACAATGTAGCAACGTCTGATAAAGTTAATCATATATGTACCATACAATCAGCAATTCCATATCCAGATATCTACACAAGAGTTTCTAAACATGTGTCCACACAGAGACTTACACATTCACAGCAGAATTACACAAAATAGCCCAAATCCAGAAACAATCCAAATGTCCATCAACTGAAGAAAGGAAAAGCAAACTGGTCTAGCCATGCAATAGACAGCTATTTAAAAAAGAAAAGGAGCCAACTAGTGATACAGACTACAACATTAACACATTATGCAAAACATTATGTGAGAGAAGCCACACACAATATGCTACATATTGTATCATTCCATTTATATGAAATTTCCAGAAATGGAAAATCTGGAGACACAGAAAACCAATCAATCAGTGGTTGTCTGGGGTTGAAAGGGCAAGCAGAATTGACCATAAGTAGGCACAAAGAAACATTTTGGGGTGATAAAGTTATTCTAAAATGGGATCATGATGATGACTATATGATTCTGTACATTTACTAAAAATCATTGAATGGAATACTAAGAATAGGTGAGGTGAGTTTTATAATGTGCAAATTATCCCTCACTGAGTTGTTTTTTTTTTTTTGTTTTGTTTTGTTTTTTTAAAGGAGGAGATATGACTTGGACCTTAGGTCTCAGAAGAGAGGTGATAATAAGGGATGGCAGGTAGTGAGGACATTCCACCCACAGATGTGGGAGATTGGGGTCCTGATTCAGGGCACCTCATAGATCAATAAATCCATGAAGATAACACTTGGTTCATTTTCCACCATGGACTATTACTGCAGATCTCTCTTCTGTAGGAAATCCTGAGAAGATGTGATAGAATGTTTGCATTCATATCTCCTGAGGCCCTTGGCCTACAGACACCCAACTCTACTGCTGAGGTCCCCGAGCCTGCGCTCCAAGCTGTCCCTTGAAATGCAATCCTTTCTCCCTGGCTATTCCCCCTGTGATGGAAATGGGAGTGAGGAGAAGCATATCACTTCTTAGAGGTCATTCTAGGTAACTCATCTGTCCAAAGTTACACCCACAGCAAAGTCCTTGCAGGGGTGCCCCATGATTTGTCCCCAGTGACTTCTCCGAACTTTTCTCTTAATGCCTTCCCCTGTCTCCCTCGGCTCTAGCCACATCCTTCCCCCGGTGTCCCCCAGCTCACCAGGCATGTCCTACCTCAGGGGGTTTGCCTGGCTATTTGCCCTGCTTGGAATGCTTTCCCCAAATACCCACACGCTAACCCTCTCACTGAACTTCAGGTGTTTCCTCAACAGTCTCCATTTCTGAGGGATCTTGTCTGATGGCCTTACCTCCCAGTCAGCTTGCCCTGCTTTGGGTGCTCCGAGCTACTTACCACCATCTGGCACATTTTGTATCTTCTGTTGTATCTTCTTTACTGTCTATTTTAGGTAGACAATTCAGCTAAGGATTGTCTTTAGAGTCTTTAGAATCTAAGCATACATTCTCTTTACCATAAAATATGTCCTTATGTTCTTGACTCTTTGGAATATAAGCTCCATGAGGGCAGGATTTTGGCCTGATTTTTTTCTCACCTCTTCTCCCAGAATCTGTGACAGTGCCTCATTCAGTAGGTGGAATAACTATTTGTGGAATGAACAGACAGCCAACAACTGGAGGACAAACAAGCACCCGTGGGTGGAGCTTGAGCCAACTGGCTCCTTCAGGGCACTCAGGGTGTGGCCCTAGAGGCCCTTTAAACCTGCATCACTTGTGGGGCTCAGGAAGTACTGTTCCCTCACCACCATGCCCACCCCACTTACTCATCCCATCAGCAATACTTCACCCCATCTCAGGCCAGTGTTCAGTGATGTTTTCACCCGGTTCTTCACACCTGACCTTCTTAGAGAGTTGATTAAAAACAGCTCCCAGGACTCACACCACTCCCTCGGCCGCTGCTCTTCGGATTGCCGTATTTTTCACTTTGCCGCTTGAATTGTGCAAGGCTCTTCTGCGTTTCTGACGGGTAGAATGGACTGCCTCTGACTTGTCACCGTCCACTAAGAACCAGCAACCCGAACCTGACAACCACGCAACCGTGGCATGCTATTTAAACACCCGTGCTCTGGTGGGAGTATGGTTTCCTCTCTCTTCTTGCTTTGCTAGCCCAATGTGCTGCTCCCCACAGTTCCCAAGGATGCATAGCTGTACCCACCCTCATCGGGGCTCTGTTTTACACCCATGGCTTGCTGGAGAACCACCTACAATGCCAATCTCTTTGTCTAACTCAAGGTGTAAAAAAAATCTTTGAAGACTGATTTCCCCAAAGAAAAGTAGAACAATCCTAATGTAAAATTACTACGTTTCAGTCCCACCAGCAGGCATCTAGCTTTTAATCTTTTATTTATTGTACACATTCTTTCTGTACCTACACACACACACACACACACACACACACACACACACTTCCTTGCTTATTTGTTTGTGTTTAGTTTTTTTAGTTTTCAGTTCTATGTACTGGGGCTGAATTCTGTTTCCGTTTCTTAGTGATTTATTCGTGTCTTTGCCGAAGACACCACACCCTCCTGAGCTCATTGACCATTCCTCTTCTCTCTCCACACTGTTTTAATATGCAGAGTCTCACCACCAGTGTCACAGTCCCAGCAGCAGTCAGAGCTGCCCTAACCTGGAAGAGGAAATAAAAGAAATAAAGGAAAGGTTGTGGAAATACAATGTGGAGACACAGCCAGCCTTGGAATCATGCCCTCATTCATATTTCATGTATCCAGAAGAACTTTTCTGTATTTCTAATATGTGAGGGTCACTGTGGAGGTAGTTTAAGAAATGCCAAGATATAAAAGATAGACTTTACCTTCAAGGAAATTGTGGCAAGTCATGGATATAGGAGAGATATGAAAGAAAGGGCAGCAGATTATAAGTGGTAAGCACTTGAGTGAGTGGCAGGTTCAAGGGCAAGCTAGCTCACTTTCAGTAGGTCTGTTCGGAGGAGGAATCCCTGAGGCAGTGGCTTAGTGGTGGCATTTAAACTGGGCCTTAGAGGATGGATGAGGCTTTGAAAGATAGAGAAAGGGAGGTAGAGGAGAAGGAACTCTAGGGAAAGGGAGTAGTTTGAGCAAAACCATGGAAACAGAAGAGTGTAAATTGTTGAGAACCTCATCAAGGCCAGAGTCTCTTTCTTCATTGGGAGCATCCAGGAAACAGAGCGACAGCCCAGATGCACGAGTCTCACCCAGAAATTCAGTTGGAATGTTCTTTCTACTTCTATTTGTAAGGTCAGCTTTTTTCCTATACCTTTAACTCGGAGGTCATATATTATCTTCTCCAAAAAGACCTTTTCTGACCATCACATCTATTGTAGGACCTCTTCCTGCCAATGTTCTTTCTCTCTCAGCCCACGTTTAGATCTCAACATGTGCCATAATTTATAATCATTTTGTTGCTATCTTTGTTTACTTCTCTGTCTCTAATAGTAGCATCTAAAGCCTCTGATAACCGAGACTGTTTCCTTAGTGCCTGAAAAATAGCAGAAGTCCAATGAATATTTTGTTGGTTGAATGAATGAATAGTGAACGAATAAATGGAATTTGCATTATGACTTTTATGAGACTGAAACATAAATTCTTTCATGGGTTCCTTCTTTTATTAAAAAATACTCAAAATTACGTTTTGTAACCATACTAGTATAAATGTTAATATAATCCAACTTGGATTAGGTTCATTTTTTCTTTTGACTTTAAAATAAATTAAAACATCATGGAACTCTAAAAAACATTATGGGACTAGGCAATGTGCCTCTCATATCTGATGGCTAAGTCAGCCTTGTGAATAGCAAAAAGCTCATAAAGAATTTGTAGGATGCATGGCTAGACAGATACTACAGAAGATAATTACAGAAGGTCTGGTACATAAGACTTTGAGTTTAGTAAATTTGAACTCTATTTGTCCAGCAATAAAAGTTATGGGAAGATTTTTGAGTGTAAGAAGGTTTCAATATGCCAGAGCCATTGTAGGAAGAAGAACTGTAGGAAGAACAGAGAAGGAAGATGTTGGGAGAAGGTTCCAGAATATGGCCCAGACAGTTCCAGGTGGAAAGGCATCTGAATTGTGGTGGTGATGGTGATGGGGTTTTGGAAGAGTAAAAGCAGGCCTGGGTGAAACTGTGGACATCTCTCACACCTGATTCTAGGGAGGGTGGATGTCATTTGAAGCTGGACAGAGAGAACCATGTGACTGAACAGAAATAGGGCCATTAGGAGAGAGAAAGTAATCGATGGGGACCTTGATTTGGTTTGGGATTTGTTTGGTGGTAGGGGTGCTAGCAGAATAATCAACTGGAACATTGTAGTAGTCAGGAACTTACAAACATAAGACTAGAATTCTGGAGCTCCAAAATTTGTGAACCATGTTCAGCCAACTTCAAGATTTTTTAAATCATAGTCCATGAATAGTTAAATCCATAAAGAACATGTGTAACGAATCATTCAAGAATTAACTCTCTTGGGGCTGGCTGATTATTCCCAGAACTATTTCTAGTTAAGAGGTTCCCTAAGTCTTCTCCCTTTTTGTTCTTCTAGCTAAGGAAAAGGGCGAGAGTCAAATGAATTATTCTATGACATAGGGTAAATATAGAATTCAATAGGGTAAATATAGAATTCAGTGAGTGTACTCCTACTCTCAATTAAATGAGAACAGGCCATAAATCATGAACATTTTATTTTTAATTAGTAGAAGCTTACACATTTTTTAGTGTGTGTGTGGTACTAGGGATTGAACCCAAGACCTTATGCATACGAGGCAAGCACTCTACCAACTGAGCTATGTTCCTAGCCTAATGTTCTTAATTCCATAAACCTGATAGGCAAGTGCGAGGCCTGCCTCATTTCAACAGGTTCCAAATAAGAGAAAGTTGATTGGGAGAAGAGCAACTTCAGCAGTAGAGGCTGAGGAATTACTAGAACTTGTGGTTCCCGGTCTCAAAATGTGCCTACTCTGAAAAAGATTCTTGAATGGGCAATCTCCCCCAAGCTCCATCCCTACTGTAAATGGCTGGGTTGCCATGGGTTTTTAGTATTAGAATGGGGCTATATTTCTGGAATGATTGGAGCAATAGCTATGTCTCTGGGTTGGGTTTGAGCAATCTATTCCTTTTCAACCAAGTTCTGAGTTATTCAAACATACACATTTTACTATGAAAGCAGGAGCAGGAGGTGTTATCATAAGTGTCTGTATCTTATTAACTAATATGTGCCTCTGTTGCCCTGTTTGGAAAATGAAGGGAATATTAGCGTGAATTTCAGAGGATCGCCATGAGGATTAAATGAGATGGCCAGTATTTAGAAGAGAGCACCTGTTTCATGGTCAACTCTCAATTAACGTTGATTTTCATCTCTTTGTCATGGTAGTTCTTGTTCAGACGCTTTCCCTTATCTACTACACTTTCCCCCTGAGACTGGAAATTTTACATGATCTGCATCAAAATCACTAAAGAACTTTTTGCATGTAGATTCTTGGTTCTTACCCTAGAACCATGGAATAGTGATCTCTTGGAATGGGGTCGAGAATGTTGCATTTGATCAACTTTTATAAGAGATATTTCATCTCCATGGAGTTTGAGTCCACTGGTGTACTGGATTTATATGAAGCATGGATGAAATTTGGATTAATATAAAGCATTCTACCTGAACTAGTTATGAAATAGGTTCCGACATCTAGAACCCCAAGACATGCAATAGAGCTGCAATGTCCTGTTCAAGACACGGTGGAGCTATACCACTCTGCAGACCACCTGATCCCTGTTGCACCCCTATCCTGTTCTGGAACCCTACCTCATGACCTGTCATGACCAAAACCCAGCCTGCAGTTGCTGGAGAGAGCCTGCCACAACAGCCAGCTTTCCTAGAAGGAAGTCTAAATGTCTAGAGAGCCTGGAACATGCTTTGAATGCACCTGTCACTGCCTCAATCAAGTTACATACACAACCTGCATAATTCCCGACAGCTCCTGACTATGAATTATCTGCTGCCCTGGCACATCAGCTTATCAGATGATTTAATTTGGACTCCAACATTCCGAGGTGGTCCACTCAAATTTAACCCCTTTAAGCAACCTCTTCCCAGAGCAGCTAATGCATGTCTCATATTTAAAGTATGAAAATCTTGCTACATCATCATAGCCATCACAGTACAAAACAAAAGTCCCATAGGACTGCAAGGATGGTTGTCAAGGTACTTTCCCATCTACTATCCAGCATTCTTTTACAGTGGGAGTTAGAAAAAACAGGTGTCTCTTTGCTTTGTAGAAAACAGAACCTCAAGGAGTTTATGAGATTACCTAAATTTACCCAACAGATTCTAGGCTAACATGACACATGATTCTTCTTTTTTGGGGGGAGAGGGGAGTACTAGGGATTGAACTCAGGGGCACTTGCCTACTAAGCCACATCCCCAGCCCTATTTTGTATTTTATTTAGAGACAGGGTCTCACTGAGTTGCGTAGCACCTTGTTTTTGCTGAGGCTGGCTTTGAACTCATGATTCTCCTGTCTCAGCCTCCTCAGCTGCTGGGTATTCAGGCATGCACCACGGCACCTGGTCAAACATGACACATGATTCTTGATGCTCTGATCCCTGGGCAGGGGCTTGGGCTGTTAGCCCACACTGCCTCCAGCTGTCAGATCATTGGTGTGGAGAAGAGATTAGGGATGCTGGTCTTGGACCACACTTTATACCTTGACTCCAACACCCACCATCTTTGTGGCCTTGAGAAAAACCCACTTCACCTCAGGATGTCGAATGCAAATGACTGTGTGGCCCATACTTCACACTTGGTAGTGGTTACATGTTATCATCTTTGCTATTATTAGCTACAGACTGACAGTGATGGTCATTCTGACCAATATAGCTAAGTTTCTAGTAGAAGTCTATCTCTTATTTTACAATAGATAAAAAGAATAAGATAAAAATAGTTATTCATTTCCATTTTTGTCTCTCTCTCTCTTTTTTTTTTTTCTTGGTAAAACTGGTGGATTGAACTCAGGGCCCATGCAAGCTGGTCAAGTGTTCTACCACTGAGCTACACCCTGAGTCCTGCCCCCACATTTTTTTCTTAAATAAAATAGAGAAACCCTTTGGAACTTATTCTTCAATCGTCAAGAACTTCAATCTAAATTATCACTCTATGATAGTATACTTGACATCAGGAATAGATCTTTTTTTCCTCCCAGAGAAACAAACTTAAAATTCACCCTTGCTCCAAATCAAATGAATCCAGTTACTTTGTTTTGTTCAATTAGCTTCTTGGCCAGTATGGAAAATAAGTGCACAAGAGATAACACCAGGTCAGAGGAGTGGGTGAGCTCTGATCAGCCAAGGAGAAGTGAGTTGGACGAATTTCCCTGATACATGCTTGGCTTGCTGAATTGGTCCCTGACTAATTTCTCAACAACATCAAGAAATTCAGAATGAATACACTAAGTAAAGAAACAAATAAAAATATTGGTGCCCAGGGAACTATTTGCCTTGGATGATGTAACTCTAACTTTCAGTTAATTACAGTCATGGAGATTTTATGAACAACAATTCACTTCACTGCCACTACCAAAGATGTATTTTGTTCCAGGTAAAACACTTACTGAGAACTTAATAGGCCCTTAGGGGAGATTGCAAAGTGAAGGAGACAGGGACCATGGAGATTCTAGGTTCAGAACCAACTTCTAGCAGAGGCAGTATCCCAAGGATAAAGCTTAGCATTAACACAGAAAGCACTCTCTGTCCTAATGAGCATGAACCTCTTCCTGCCTGCCACTACCTGCCCCATCCAATGCCCCGGAAGCACCTGGTAGCATGGGAATTCCTGAGTCCAGGGAGGACCAATGAAGTGTGACACAACAGTTATAGAATCAGAGTGGCCATAATGCAGAGAAGTGACCGTGAGGGGAATGGAACTTCAAAAAAGAACTTGTGAGAAAGCAAAACTATGGCTGGGTATGGTGGTGCGTGCCAGTGACTCCAGTGGCTGAGGAGGCTGAGGCAGGAGGATCGCAAGTTCAAAGCCAGTCTCAGCAACTTAGCAAGGCCCTAAGCAACTCAGAGAGACCCTGTCTCTAAATAAAATATTAAAAAGAGCTGGGAATGTGGTTCAGTGGTTAAGCTTCCCAGGGTTCAATCCCGGGTACCAAAAAAAAAAAAAAAGAAAAGAAAAGAAAGAAAGAAAAAGAAAAAGAAAATAAGAAAGAAAGAAAGAAAAGAAAGCAAAGCTATTTCAAACGATAGTCTCAGTGGCACTATATTTAAGGTGGGGAAAGTATATAGAACTAAAAACCACATGAAAGTATGGAAGGGCCAGAAATATCATGATGGGAACTATGATGAAATAATATACAATTCTTTAAACTAACAAGTTTATGGGTTGCAAACCTGTGGAGATGTTCATATAAAACAATGTAAAATAGAGAGTCACAATGGAAAGCTAAAATTAATTTATGTATTTACACTGAAATGTTGAACAAAATGTTATAAGAATATGTCACAACCTGAAAGATTGGAATCTTTATGGATTCTAGCCTGTATCACTTTTTTATTTCTTTGTTTTTTATTCTAATTTGTTATATTTGATAGCAGAATGCATTACAATTCATATTGCACATAGACAGCACAATTTTTCATATCTCTGGTTGTATATAAAGTATACTCACATCATTCCTGTCTTCATACATGTACTTAGGGTAATGATGTCCATCTCATTCCACCATCTTTTTTACCCCCAAGCCCCCTCCATTCCCCTCCCAACCCTTTGCCATATCTAGAGTTCGTCTAATCCTTCCATACTCCCCCTCCCATAGCCTGTCTCACTTTAAATGAACCTCTGGACCCTGTTACTAGATTTCTTTAGCAAGGTCGTTTTCTCAGTCTGGTAACCTCTATTTCATGCTTCCTCCCCTCTCCAAACTTCTAAGTCCCCTCGTAACAGAATCCCAGGAGCTGTCTGGGACTCTCCCTCTGCCTGCTCACATCTGGCAGCACCATACCTAACTTCCATAAGGTCTTTTGGATCTTTGAATTTGCCATAGTCTTGAGGTCTTAATTCTTCTATGCATTTTCTGCTGCAGGGAAAGCCTTGCATCAAGTTGGTGAAAACTTAAGTGTCATATTTATAGGCTTCCACTATTATCCTCACTCTTGGGGGACCTGCATTTCCCCTTCATAGCACTTCACACACTCTTTAATTATCTATGTATTTGCATGATTATGGTTCCACTGTGTCTCTTTCCCCTGCATAGATGGTGAGTTCCAGGAGGAATGTGATGGTAAGTTTTATGAGTTAGTTTGATTGGGCTATGGGGTGCCCAGATACTTGGTCCAACATTATTTGGCATGCTTCTATGAAGGTGGTTTGAATAAGATGAACTCTTTGTTTTCTTTTTCTTTTTTTGAGATGAACATTTAAATCGGTAGACTAAGGAAAGCAGATGCCTCCCTAACATGCCAGGCCTCATCCAAGCAGCAGAAGGCATAAATAGAACAAAAAGGCTGACCATCCTACAGATAAGAGAGAATTCTTGCCTGATTGCCTTTGAACTGGCACAGTGGCTTTTCTCCTGCCTTTGGACTCAAACTGAAATAATGGCTCTTTCTGGGTCTTGAGCCTGCTGGCCTTCAGTGACCACACCACTGATTCTCCTGGGGTTTCCACAGCTGACTCACCCAGCAGACCTTGGGACTCACCCACGTTTACAAAAATTGCATGAAACAATTACTTAAAATATAGCTCTTTCTATAAATATATACATCCTTTTGGTTCTGTTTCTCTAGAGAACTCTGACTAATATAAGTAATATCTGGACTGTTCACAATAATACACCTTACCTACCATCCGTGCAGTGCTGGTCAAGCTGGTTGTTTCATAAAACTTCACTGAATGTATATATGAACGTATATGTGTATGCATGGGCAGACAGATGAATAAAGTGATGTGAATATAATTTAATATTCATTAAATTTTAATTTTTCCACAAAACACTATGTGGCATATGCAGACTATTGAATACATGTGTTCACTTGAGTAGTATTTTTCAAAGCATTTTCATATTACAGTAGTGTTTTTTTATTATTATTATTCTTAGATCCCTTTGATGGTAGACATCATTCCAACTTCATATTTGAGGAAATGGAAGTTCAGAGAAATTAACAGATTTGCCAGTGCTCCTATCGTGAGCCAAATGGCAAAGGCTGAAATTGAGACCTGATAAATTCAGACCAAGGATGTGGATCTTCTGCTTCTGTAGGACACTGTGTCCACTGCAGGGTGTTGGAAAACATGGAGGGCTGGAAGGCACAGAGACATTATCCTGACGGGTCTCTCTGCAGTTCGGGAATGGTAGGAGGTGACAGTGGTCTGGTCTGGGGAAAGGTCCTGTGATATTGGAATGATGAGGTCATGAGCAGTGGGCAATGAGCCTTAGACATGGCTCTCAGGTCCCTCTTTCACATGCAATCCACAGTTGTCATGGCCACATTTTCAGTGAAGTTCTGGTGCTCGTGTAGGAGTCATATCAATCTCTTAATTATAACTCACAGGTGGCTCCATAAACACCCAATTTAGATGTAGGACAATGGAATGGGAAGCGCATGGGTTGAACCCAAAGGTGTGGTTGGAGAAGTCAAAGGACAGAGAAAGGTCCAGGAGAGCCAGTAGGTATATTCCCACACTGTCTGTCACTCTGGCAAAGCCATGACCTTGTTACCCTATTATTTGTCCTATTTGAACATTCACAAAAGACACAAGCTCAAAGAGCAGAGCTGTGATAGGGGAGGAAGGATGATATAAAATCACCCGTAACCAAGGGAAGGCCTGATTCTCAGCTTGGATGCAGAGAACTCCTCCCGGGGCCCTGAGCGCCTAGCGCACCTTTTCATCATTCAACTTTCACATCCTGTTGAAGCCTTCATCTTCTTTTCAGCCCCTGTCTGCAGCAGCTTTCTATAAAGAGCTTGATGACAGCTCAGTCTGCTGGGAAAACCACAACCTCCCTTTCCTCCTCAGAATCATCTTTGGACTGTGACACTCACCACCCTTAATGAGGTGGGGTTTTCAAGGCCAGCAGTGCAGGGGCTGGTTACCTCCGTCCTGACAGCTTCTGAAAGTCCAGCAGCTGCCTCCAAGCCCAATGCTGAGATTCACCAGACAAGGACAACCCGATAACCAGGAGCTGAACGCTCGTTGGCCTCTCATGATTTTTGCATTATTAAATTACTAAATTTTTATATTATACTTTCACAGTGCTAAAATCATAACAGTTACTTGAGGGACACAGTATAAGAAGATTAAAACAAATCCAATAATGAAAATAGCTACTCTTTTTACGCTTTGTCTAAGTTACATTTTTCATTTCTCAATAATCTATTTTCCTAATAAGGAAAATGAGTTTCAAGAGACACTTACCCAGCAGGGCAGGGAGGTGGAAGTTGGGAATTAAGAGTCTCTTGGCACTGAGGTTATTGGTTGGCTGTGTGTCCTTAGGTGAGTCTCTTTATCTCTCTGGGATTTAGTTTCATTTCTGGAGATAGGAAAAGAGCAAGTTAGACTTGAATATGGAATAGATCCTCTCTTGCTCTAAGGGTTCTCATGTTGAGTTTCATTGCTTTTCTTCGTCAATGATTATTCTCGTTCTTGTTTGGGTTTTTTTGTTTCTTACTTCCCTTAACTTTCTCCTCATCCAATTCTCAAGTTGTCACCTTTCAGAGAGCTTTTCCCTGGCTAGGCTAGTCCTGTGTAAACTCCTGCCCGCTATCCCTCCACTTGTGGTCATAGCTGATGGTTTCCTTTTCTTTTTTAGCTCATTTCCTTTCTAAACTTTTGTAATTAACACGTATTAATTGTACGTATTGATGCAGAACCGTCCGCCATCCCAACACGTTCCTACAGCATGCACTGATCAAATCAGGGTCATTCATATCTTTTCTTCATGTTTGGAACCTTCAAGCTCCTCTTTCCTAGGTCCTCATAAAATGTATAATAGGTCATCGTTAACCGTAGCCACTCCACTGGGCTGCTTTACACCACAACATAGTCTTTCTATCTAACTGTGTCATCCAACCTCTCTTTATCCCTCCCCGCCCCCCCACTAGTAGTGCCTAGTAAGCACTACTCTACATCCAGGTCAACTTTTTTTTAGCTCTTACATATGAGAAAGAAAATAACAAAGCAGGAGACATCACAATACCTGATTTCAGGACCTACTACGGAGCCATAGTAACCGAAACAGCACAGTGCTGGTGTAAAACCACACACATGGGCCAATGGGATGGCATAGAGAGCCCCAAATAAGCCACACATCTACAGCCAACGGATTCTTGACAAAGGCACCATAAACCTACACTGGAGAAAGGACAGCCTCTTCAACAAATGGTGCTATGAAACTGACAAGACTGAAACTTGACCCGTATCTCCCACACTGTACAAAAGTCAACCAAAATGGGTCAAGGACCTACATGTAAGCCATACCACTTTTTAATTGACTGATGCTTTTTAACACATGTCCCCAAAAACATAGGAGACAAAAGCCAGAATAAGCAAATGATATTATACCGAACAAAGAAGCTTCCTCACAGCAAGGGAAACTATCAACAGTGAAAGGCAACCTACAGAATGGGAGAAAATATTTACCAACTATTCATCTAATAAGGGATTAATATCCAAAATACATAAAGAACTCAAAACCTCTAACAATGAAACAGCAAGTTCTCCCATTAAAAATTGATTTGATTTTCTTCATGAACTTTTTTCTTTCTTTTTCACTCTATTGCTTCCAAAAAAATGCCAGCTCTATGAGCCCGGGATGTGTCTGTGCCATTCATACCTGATCACCCGTGCGGGAGCTCCTTTATCATGCTCCTTACAAAGCCTAAATACCTGGCGTTATTGCCACAAACTGGCCCCACTTTCCAACGAGGAACAAAGTCAATAATCAATAAACATTTATTGATTGAACTGGTGAAAAAATCCAACTGTTTGCAAGTACTTTGGATTCTACCACAGAAAATTCTGGAACTCTGTGGTTCAATATGGTAGTCAATGGTCACATATGACTATTTAAATTTAAATTAATTAAAAGTAAAAATCCAGGACCTCAGCCTCTCTACCACTTTTCAAATACGCAAGAGCCATTCGTGGCTCCTGGCTTGCCTAACATAGAGTGAAAAACAGAACGTTTCCATCCCTGCAGAGAGTTCTATTGGAGAGTGCTGGTCTACCTTCTGACCCTTCTTCTCCATCTCACTGTAATTGCTCACCTGGATTCTTGCAGTACCCTCTTCATGAGCCTGACAATGGTTTGTTTCACACAAGTTCTTTTTCCACATGGCTTTCTTCACTTATTTATGCCAGCTACCGTGTTAAGCACAGAGGACCAACTGGGGCCTGAGTCAGATCTGGTCCTGATGCAATGAACTTACAGGCCAGTGATGATGTGTGCATGCCACCCCTGAGCTGAAGAGCAAGTTGGATCCTCTTCCCCAAAGTCCCTCAGTGTCCCAGATCCCTGTTCTGTGCTTGGGGGATTCAGCAGAGCCCACTTTGCTGTGTCTGGAGGGATTTAGCTGAAATGAGGGTGGTAGGCATGCAGTGCAGGGTGGGGCATATGTGTGGGGTGCACTGTGTGGGAGTGGGGTGTGTGTGTGTGTGTGTGTGTGGTGGGGTGTGGGGATGTGGACTGTGTGGGCAGTTGCACTTGTGCCTTTTGGCCCTTGAGTTGGGTCTCATGGTGCTCGGCCCCATCTCTTTCTGGCAGCTTCTGACTGGCACTCCATCCTCTCACTTTATGCTCTTCCCTGATCTCTGCCTACCCAGTCATACCTCAGTGCTTTTGCACAGGACCAACCCTCAGTGAGATTTTCTTTCTCAATTGTTTAACCTATGAACGCTCACTTCAAATTTCACTCTCTATGAATCCTTCCCAGCCATCCAGAGATGTCAGGGGCTCTTTCTCTCTATGTGTCTGTGGGTATCTGTACTAAGCCCAGTACATCGCTGTGTTTACTCTAATGAGCCCCCTCCAGCAGACCAGATTTCCTCCAGGGAACTCTGTATCCATCATTTGATCCCCAGTGCAGGAGATGTAATAGGTCCCTAATCAATGATTTTGGACAAATGATGAATGAACCATGAAGAGACGGATAAAGTGAGTGAATAAATGTACAGATGTAAAAGTGTCCGAGCCATCTGCATCTCCCCAGGGAGTCTGCCTTGGTGCCAGACTCAACACAGAGGAAAAAGACCGTCATTGTCTGTTACTCTTATCAAAGAGAAAATCTTGGTTTCCATCTTAACATTTTTATTTCCTATCGTCAATGTTCCCTTCACCCTATTTTCACAGAGAACACACCTTTTAGATGCACCCACAAACTTTCCTTTGTGGCTGGCCACAATTCTAGAGAGATCATTCACTTCATTTCCGAATACAGAGACCTAAGGTGCTCTTGCTTCTGATTGGGGAAGTGACTCTGATATCAAAATGCTCACCAGCCCCTCCTAACTTTTACATAAGAATCTGAATCAAAACTGTTTTATAAGAAGTACACAACGTTTTCATTAAACGATACCAATCGGAAGCAATCTTAACGTTTCTTAATTTTCCCCAGCTTGTAAAAAACAAGCAAACTAAAGAGGAAACTGTGGCATTGTTAGACAGAGGTTCTCTCCAAGGTGCCCTTCCATTCAGCCACCCAGATTGTTGTTTTATAGTTCTGCAGAGGAAAGAAAGGGGAAGTCCCTGGCATCCCTTAACAAGCCAGTTCAGGAAGCCAGACATTGACTAACACATTCAACTAGTTTGTGTGCTTTCTGAGATTCAAATAGGTTATCCTGATCTTTCACGGTATGTTTAAATAAGCAGATTAATTAACTCCCTTCCCTGTTCTTCCAGGTGACTCTGAGGTACATCTTCAGAGAAGGGACCTGGGAATGTTTACCAAAAGTAGACAATTCCAGCTTCTTATTGCTCTCCCTTGAACTTGAAGCTCTGAGCCTGTCACTAGAGGTTGGGGGGACAAAGAGGGTTAGAACACACCTAGAATCACCACTCCCTAGGATGACTAATGTTAACTTTGCTAGTGTCGATCATGCAAGGACAATATGCCATCAACATGACACCCTGGTTGCTAAAATCTTTTACTAGTCACTTATTCAGTGATTAAGATGCTAAGCCAAATCTACCTCTTGTTAAGTCTGTGTGTGTGTGTGTGTGTGTGTGTGTGTGTATGTGTTAAAGCTTCTGGTTCTCAGTAGATATTAAACCACCACAGAGCAGGTGTGTCTGTGAAAACTAAAGGCTTGTCAGAGGCTCTGGACTACCCAGCTATGACTTTTCTAGAAATGAGGGAATCTTCTTCAGACTGAGAAATGGTTGCTGACTCTTAACTACTAAAAACCAAGTGATCTTAATATGAGGCAAGTAGGTTTTCGAGGAAACAGTGTTGTGTGAATCTGGTGTTTCCATGATCTTGGCTTAGCTAAGGTGGCCTGATATCCAGCCTCAAGTCTACATGCAGGCTTAATGAGGACACTGGACATCTTTTGTCCATCTTAGGGAAGACTTTTTAAAAACAAAATCAAGTTAAGTTTCAACCCATGAAACGTAACCACACTTAAGCGAGAACTGCTTGATTATTAAGCTGGTCTGTGTGGCTTTCCTAAAAACAACAGGGAATCTGACAAGTATTGTCTGAGGGACAATTTGTGGAGGAGAGAAAAGAAAGTAAGATCCACACGTAGTCTATGCTCTGCAAGAGGCCACAGTCTAGGTGGGGAGATAATTCACTCACAAAATTATGGTTAATATAGCGTGAGACAGTGTCCACAAGGGCTGAGTGAAAGTCAAACACTCAAAGAGGAGGGAAGATCCCCATGGTCTCTCCATGTTGAGCCTTGAGGTATGGAAAAGGTTTGGGATGAGGGGAGAAGGAGAAGGAGGAAGAGAGGAAGAAGGGAAGAGGGGGAAGTAGAGAAGGAGGAGGGAGAGAAAGAGGGGGCACTTCAAGAAGGGCTACTATACATTTTAAAATTGAGTTTGAAGACAAATGTTATGTGATTCTACTTGTATCAGGTACCTAGACCCAGAGAATAGAATGGTGGTTTCCAGGGGTTGAGGGGAGGGAGGAAGGGGGAGATATTCTTCAATTTCAGTTTGGGAATATGAAATCATTCCAGAGATGGGAGATGGTAATGGTTGCAAAACAATGTGAAGGTACTTAAGGCCACTGAAATGCACTCAGAACAATGGTTAAAATGATGAAGCTCATGAATATTTAAAAGAAAAAAGCTTAGGGGAGACAACCATCTGTCCCTAGAAGAGACAGGATGGATTCATACTGAAGGCTTTTGATCTTTTTCTTCTATGACTTCATATTAACTACATGTACAACCCATGTGACAGCAGATGTGAAATGATTAAATATAATCCACTCCTGGGGTGCTGCACATCAGGAGGGTATTTAGTGGCTGTAGTTAGCTCCCCAACAACTCTCCTCCATCGTAACACATAAAATCCACTTTCACTGT